ATATTGGGATATTGGAAAAGAAAAAGGAAACTACCATAATCTAGTAGGGTGTATATATATATATACATATGGGGTTTCCACAAACCTTGGGGATCCCTCTTTCAGAGTCTGTATACTATACGAAGGGAGACCCAAATTTCTGGGAAGCCCCCAAAGGCAAGGTGTGGGGTCAAGGTCGCATTGAATTCAGCATGGGTCCAAAACAAGGTCAACCTCTGAGTCCTAGATGTGCCTCAGAGATTTGAGGTGTGAACCCGTCTCCCGAACAGCTGAACCCTGTTTGGGATTGAGTTCTTGGCTGTTTTTCAGGGCAGAGGGAATACAAGGCCTATGCCAGGAATCTTGCATGCCTAGTAGACGCACTTAGACACAAGTATACCCTTGCTTCGGATCTTGCAAGGCAATAATCCTCTTCTACAAGGGCTGGTGGTAACTTAAAGTTGTTTGTCTTTCTTCTGGCGGGTCTGCTCGAGAGGTCTCATTCTAGCAGATGTCTCGCAACTTGGGGTATGTGCCCCATGTGAGCAACAGCCCAATGCCTCAGTGCTACAGCATGCCCTGGACTGAATATACGTCAGTATGTATATGTATAGTTGCCAAGTCCATTGCCCTTGTCTGGTATTTAGTACATTGAAAGTCGGCCAGTTGAGTTCTGATAGCAGAAAAAGGCAAAAAAACACTCATATCTAAACGGTGGGCTCCAAACACGTTGCTGAGAGGCGCCTTCGGACTTCAGCGAGGAGTCCGCCTCTTGCTGGCAGCTCTGGCTGCAGTATGTACGTTGGAGTAATTAATGAGAAGGGTCCTCAAGCCGCTGAGGTATCTATACATCAAAGCATCCTGACCCACCCCGCCTGTCGGCCCTCAGCCATCTAACTTTGCCCCCGCAAGACTGCATAGTTTAGTGAGATGATTCCAACAATTACGTTTTCACGGTAGCCTTCGCCTGCTAAGGTTCCTGCACTGGTGGAAGCCGCTCGCCTGCAGCATTTTGGCTCCGTGCCATTCCGTTCTTTCTGTTGATGTCACGCATCACCCCTGCAACCACCACTATCACCACTGCCAACGCCGCCGCCACTGCCATCGCATCCGCCACTTGCTGCTCCGCCGCCATCAGTAGCGCCACCACCACCGCCCCGCCGCCCGCGCTAGCACCAGCACCAGCACACGGCCAACGCCACCATCACATCCCCACTCCCCACACCCCCACGCCACCGTCGCCACCACCATACCACAGCTACGACAGCAATGTGGTGTCGAAGCACGGCTGCTTCCTCAGGAGTGCTCGGGCGAGACCATGGCCAGAACGCTTCAAACCCATCGAGTTCTTGCAAGAGCCTGGTGAGGTGAGCCATGCTAAAAGCGGGTGGAAAACTTCTGGTATGTGGATGGTTGAGAGAGGCTCACGCAAGCAGGGACTGCGAACTAAAGACGCGGAGGCTTCTTTCCAACTTGGGGTTTGGATTTACTGGATGCTGTCCATGCACGTACCACGTGTCCTATCAGGCCAATGTAGATAGATACTTGCATGATTAAGAACGTTGCCCCTGCCGAGCCCTATCCGATTTTTTCATGACATGCCATCTCCGGATTCCTGAGGCGTTCGGAAATTCCGGACGATTTGTGGTGTAGTCTTCCACCGTGCCAGGTCGTGTTCGTTCCAGCGCGCTGGTGGCATGCTGTGCTGAACCTGGAGGCCCTGCCAGATTCGAAAGTGCCACTTTCGAGATTCCGTGACTTAGTTGGCGGGAACTTATTGCTGACTCTGGCACTAATGGACAATGATTTTGACTCTTGGGGTGTACATCTTACAGTATTCTTCGCATCATGACAAGAACATTCCTTTAATGATATATGGCACAGGATGAAGTCGAGCGTGGGTTCTGTTGCGGTGTGGTTTTGCGCGTATCAGGACCCACTTTACATACGACAGTGGGCTTTTGTAGTTGAAGGACTCACTGGCCGTGACTGAGAACTTCTGCAATGAGTGGAATGTGGGCAACGTTTGGAGGCGCTCTGATGCTTGCTGCGTTTAGATTGCAGTTTTCAAGTTCACGGGCGGTGCTTTCCTTTTCAAGGCTTGAACCAAAGAAGGCCCGCAACTTTCTGACTTCTTTACTCCAGCTGTTGTCTCAAGTGCGTCCACCAACTTGTTGAACGAAGTTTTCCGGCCGGTCCCGAAGTTTGGATTTGCTTCACAAGGGATCAGTGATTTCGCAGAGCTGAAGCCTCTGATGGAATAGCTGTACGGATATCCCGGAGTCGGTTGTTGCTCGGGAAGCTTCCACCATTCCATGGACCCTGGAGGTGCACCTCCGCAACCCACCCAGTGCTCGCACGGCACCTGCGACAGAGCCTGAAGTGTCAGCGGCCAGAAGCTGGGTGCAGCAAGGGTGTGGGGGTAGGAGCTAGGAGCGCGTGGTGAGCATTTAAAGGGCATAAGGAGATTGGCCGGGGTTTCAGGCTTGGTCAATGAAAGCATCGCAATAGCAAGACATTTGGAGAAAGCGAAGAAAACATGCATGTCTATCTGACAAGAACGCCCAAATAATGGGGATGTTTCTGCGGTCCGTCCAAGGATTTGGTGTAGTGTTGATTTCCATATGATCCCACCCCTCTCTTCTGCTCTCCAAGGACCTATTCGATGCTCTGGTGGCCAAGGAGCCCATCTTGGAGGGCGATGACCCCAAGGTGTCATACGTCTTTGAAGCCCAGGCTGCATGATCTCTCCT